AAGTCCTCAACCATTATTCAATATATTCACCTTAAAATTTGTTCTAATTTTATAATTTTATCAATTGAATTTCACAAATTATTGTGCTTCCTTTTAATTTCAATAAAGCGCATAACCCTTGAAGATTTAAAAAGTTTTATAAAAATATTTTTTNTTACTCATAGAAGTCCTCAACCATTATTCAATATATTCACCTTAAAATTTGTTCTAATTTTATAATTTTATCAATTGAATTTCACAAATTATTGTGCTTCCTTTTAATTTCAATAAAGCGCATAACCCTTGAAGATTTAAAAAGTTTTATAAAAATATTTTTTATAAGTTATTCTCAAGTTCATTCATGCAAGAAGAAAAAGACATGATTAATTAGTTGTACTTTTATTATGTTTCTTTAAAAATATTCAAATAACATAAATTAAAAAATTGAATCTTATGTCTTCTTTGTATCCCTTCGAAGGTTTCAATGTTATCCAAGAAGTGAGGTTCTAATTAATAAGATAAGAAGAAAAAAGAATTTATGAGTTACATAAATTTGTCAAAATATGTGGGCAAAAAAAAGCATTACTAAACATGAAATAGATGAAAAAAAACATAAACTTTAGTAGGGCGAACAAATTATAGTGAAAAGTTATTGAATCTATTACTTGTGTATATACATATTAATTTAGATATTTTTTATACATACCATCCATTTTAAAATCTAAACACTTGTTCTTTCTCTAGTTTCAAATAAAAAAAGATTTAATAAGTAAAATTTTATTTAATTTGAAGTCCTAAATATTAATAAAATCTTTAAATTATATGTTATTCAATATAAAATTTATCTATATAGTAAAATGTCAATTAACATTCTTATTAGAGATTTTGTGTTTTTATAATATAGATTTAGGCTTGTACGGTTTAGTATAATTAAATATACTATCAAATAATTATTTTAGGCACTTAATTGAACATGGGTTAATTAATTGTATGATTAAAATAAGAATTTTTATGCATATTTATTAATTATAAAAGAAAAATTTCACGTCAATCAGTATAAAATATATACAAGAAAATTAAATTATTACAATATCTTCTTAACATACAAAGATGATGAATTTAGTTGAATTAGTTATATAATATTTGTAATTATAATATCTTGTGAAATAAAATAATAAATATATCATAATATTGTATCTCGCCTAACATCTCTTTGGAATACAAATAATATAAATTTCGATTATCAATTAGACCAATGACAGTATTATACAAAATATTATAAACCTTAACTACTGGATATAAATATTTTACCTGATTGTTTATCCGGTAGATGCGTTGCTACATCCCAAACATATATCTCTTGAAATTCCAATTTACTAAATAATACAATTTTTCATAAAACTCCAGTCACCTAATTAGGCCAGTCTTGAGGAAGTTGTTCTTTAAACAAATTTTCTTGCATCTTCATCCAATGATATTAATTGAATAGTTATTATTTTTCTTAAAATTTAAGAGCTTGAAAAGTTAAATAATAACTTAAATTTTTGAAAAAGAGATATAGTGCATTACTAAGATCACCTTACAAGGAAATAATAACATTTTTTATTAATTATCAAATAATGAATACAAAAAATAATTTTAATGAACTTTTTACATAATTTAAATAAGAAAAAATTAATAACTAAATTTTTAATTACTTTTAAACTCATAAACATAGATTTGTATAAAGTAAACTCTTAACAGTTTTAAAGTTCTAAATGGTAGGACTTTCTGCATAATTCAAATAAGAAAGATTTTTAATGCGTAAAATTTTATTCATTTAAGCTGTTTAATATTAAAAAATAATTAACTGACTATTCAGTAAATTATTTCTTATAGTACTTGACTACATTCCCCGGACGACAGATTTTCTTTATTTATAAATGAGACAAAAAGCCGTTAGTTTAAGTTCCAATCTTCTATTCTAGGTAATATTAATTCATTGGTAGTAGTATTTTATTGGTACTATAAAATAAAATAAATATATAATAGGTAATGTATTTCTTGTTAATGAAAGGATAGGGGAGAAAACGTGGTAAAAGTATATTAAGTTAGTGTTTTTTTTTTAAAGTGATTGATATAAGGTAAAAGTTTAATTGATTTTAAGGTTCTAAATATTAGGATTTTCTACCTAGTTTAAATAAGGAAGGATTTAATACATAAAATATAGCAATTAATTTTCAAGTCCTAAATATTAGGAAAATGATTTAAATGACTATTTTGTCTAATGCAAAACTAATTCTTAAAGGGTAAAAAAGACGAACGACATTTCGCTAAGGGCCTTCGTACTTTTAATATAGTATAGATACATGAAAAAAATGGTGCATATAATAATGCCAATATTATTATATAGAACCAAAACATAAGTTGTACTATTTGTTATTTTCTCATTACGCAGCCAACCAAAAGGACATATAATTAGGGATTTTTACACAACACAACAGCCTAACAAGGTCCACAACAAAAAATACTGCTAGTTTTTATTTTTTTAGAAATTTTAGCCAGTACGCAATGTATAATTAATGCAATAATTATTTTATGATCAGTGCGTGTAAATATATATATATATATATATATATATATATATATATATATATATATATGTATGTATAGTAATTTTACACTTATTATATAATAATTATATACTGAATATATACGACTGGCAGCCTTGAGAACTATGTTGGATTATTGCAATATATAACTATGTTGGATTTTATTATTTTTTTGGGTCAATTTGAGAACAAGATGCGGGAAGCGAGCCTTAAGATGGTTTGGGCATGTGAGGAGGAGATGTACAAACGCCCCGATTAGGAAGTGTAAGGGGTTGACATTGGAGGGCCTAAGGAGAGGTAGAGGTAGGCCAAAGAAGAATTAAGGAGAAGTGATTATGCATGACATGACCCAGCTACAGCTGACCGAGGACATGAACTTGATAGGAAAGTGCGGAGGTCGAGAATTAAAGTAGTATGTTAGGTAGTCTAGAGTGTTCATATAAGTAATATTAGTACGTACTCTCACTTTCTGTTGGTATTAGGTTTCTATGACTACCTGTTGTTTCTTTCATTTTGATAATTTTACTATCTTCTTGTTATTTATGCTGCTTTCACATGGCTTATCGGTGTTGTTCCTTCTTGTTTTTCTTTTCATTAATGTGGCGCGCATACTTTCCTTAGCCGAGGGTCTATTAAAAACAACTTATCTATTTCCACAAGGCATGGATAAAGTCTGCATACACGCTTTCCTCTCCAAGACCCCATTATATGCGATTATATCGGGTATGCTGTTGTAATTGTTGGCTAAAAACGTTAAGATCCCTTTTAACTTATAGAGAGGGCATAAGACACATGGAATTTTAAATTTTGTTATGGACTTTCAATACTGAATTTGTTATTGTTGTTATTATGGGCTCTTAGTTGAAAATTTCAAGAAGCTCAATAGTTATAGGAGTTCAAATTTCTGAATAGGAAAATGACATATTTTAAAATAATATAGATTACAATCTTTTTAAGACTTAATTAGATTTTCTACAACTACTTTGAAAAAATATAAAAATAGAAAGAAGCAATTGCACGACATTTGAAGTCATAACACGCATTTGCTGGATGCGATTTATAAGTCTCATCCTACAAATACGATTTATAAGTCGTATTCTTTGATTACGATTATAATATACGATTCATAAGTCTTGATTACACTTTAGTAAGTCGCATTCCTTGATTGCGCTTTATAAGTCGCTTCCGTGGTTGATACATAATTCACATTTATTACTAAGCTTTATGTGTATTGGTTCATTTCCTCGGCTCCACCTTCAACCTTCCATTCCAAAGGAAAATAAGCACAAACCTCAGTTTTTCGTATAAGCTACATGTTCATTAAGAATTTGAAATATATAACTATGCTTAATTCCAAATAAATTGAGATCAACTATATAAATCATCACGAGCCATATTGCTTAGTTTAACACTTTAACTCATCTTCTGCCAATATTATGCAAATACGAATAAAAAGTATCAGATTTTTATATATTTTTTAAATGCATGTATCTCTAACCACCTACAGTAACCATGCTAACATCTAAAACACATGTTATGTATTCATTAGTTTGATATAAACATAGAATGTGGTAAAGTATTTTTCATACTATAATTTTCATTCAGATCCGTTCGAGTTTATGTATTATCACTGTGTCACTTATGTTCGAACAGGTATTTGCATCACCTTGTCAATTATGAACCCATATAATCACAACAACAAACCTAGTGTAATTTCACAAGTGAGGTATGAGGAAGTTAGTGTGTGCGTAGTCTTTATCCCTACCATGTGAAGGTAGAAAAACTATTTTCGATAGACCCTCCGCTCACGGACACAAAGTCACTGACATTCTTGAAAAAAAAAAATACTATAGTGGAGAAATCATGGAAAGGAAGCAGTAACACATTTAGTATCAATCAAATTGACTAAATTGAAATTTTATTCAAATTATTCAGTTAAAAATTTATAAGCTGGAAAAACTCAACAATATCAGACGAGTAATTACTAAATTGACTGATATCCAATTAGTACAAGTGTACTACACTCTGAACCAAGTGTAGCTCAGAACATGAATTGAAGCAATTCTAGTACACAGAAAACATGCACCAACCAATACATATTTACCTTAATTAATTACAAAAATAAACAACATTTTCATAAATAAAATACCCTCAAAATTTTATGCTAGAGAAGTATCAGCTTCTCAAACACTTGATGAATGTTACTTATTTACAATAGTTAAAAGACATTTATATAATAAATTGCCTCATTTCTCTACCCTAACATAGCTCTTAGTGAAAATAATTACAGGTTTTCCATTTACATTTCAAGAAAGGAAATTATAAAGACTTATTTAGGCAGGAGCAAAATTGGAGTGCTGCTTATTTACAACCATTTATCAGCCTCCTAAAACAAGCAATGCCAAAAAAAACTGCAGAAGTCAGATGCCACCCTTTGTCAGCTGTACAAAAAAGAATGTCTTCAATTCTTGAAAACTGGATTGCCTCGAGAAGAATTCGAAGATAAAGCAACGTGTTTCTCTGAAACAAGACGATGCAAGGATCGTTAGAAGTTGCTTAAAGAACAGTGTTTAGCACGCGCGAGACATTGTACAACAATGACATAGCAAGTGAAATCCCACTAGTGGGGTCTGGGGAGGTTAGTGTGTACACAGACCTTACCCTTACCTTGTGAAGGTAGAGAGACTGTTTCCGAGACATTGTAAGTATGTATATATCTAGATAATTTTACCAAAACAAGGGGGCTACTAACCTCCTGTTGCGATGAGCTTTTCAACGCGAGATACAATGTGTTTTCCATAAGTGTACTTCTTGAGAGCAGTAAGGTGTATTCTAATGCGAGAAAGAATTAGCTCGCGGCTCTGATCATCACATGTCTCGAAAACCTTCTGCACTACATAGTTTCCGAAAGGATCCTTCATCATAGCCTACATTGCAAAATTCAAAGTGATCATGAATGAAGAACATCGTCGTTCTTTCTTAAATGCAGAATATAATGGTGCAAAACCACTGAATTCAAGAATAGTGACAGACCTGTAGAGGTTCATTTTCTTGTGTCGAACCAAGCATCTCATTCACCAGGAATTGACGCTCCTCTGGCGTTGCAAAGATCAAGCACTTCTCAACGACGTTAGAAGCATATTTGTGCTGACTCATCTTTACAATTTGTCCAGTAAGTTTGCCTATTATAATAGACCTCTCGTGTGGTTTACCGTGTTGGAGTACATGCTAACCAAGTAAGAGGAAGGGTAAATCAGGACTCAGAACAGAAAAGTAATAACTTGCAGTACAAAAATCAAGAGTTGCAGACTATCTACAGCAGACTTTTGACAGCAATCGAAAAGCTAAAAAACTGATAGCTAGTATAGTAGTCAAGTAAACAACAGTTCTTAAGCACTACTAACACTTAAGCGGAAAATAGAAGTCTGAACATGAAATCCAAAACTGGAATCACTTATTTAGCGAAGGAGTTGGATGTCACGTAACGATGAATACCTGAATGACATAGTTTCCATACTGATCCAACACTAGAGTGCCAACAGCTTGCATTATTTCGTCCATAATAATCTTTTGTGTCTTTGAGTCGTTACAGTGCTCAAGAACTCTCTGAAAATTAACGGATCCAAAGTGATTAAAGGAACTCAAAGCCAAATTAAAGAACTAAAACGATAGCAGATCAGTACCTGAATTACACGGCAACCATAAGGATGTGTAGACAAAGACACAACTTGCCCAAAGAAGGAAGCTACAATGAAATGAATTCTATCTTGAGGTACATGTTCTATGCACTTTTGAATAACATGATTACCGTTTTGATCACGAACACATTTCATTACATAGCCATCCAGTTCTGTAACCATTTTAGTCTGCAGTTCCACATCAAAGACCTCCAAAGCCTGTGATCACATAATATGTTTCAATCCGAAACCAGAAAAAGGGGACAAAAAGATGCACTATTAAGCAAGGATATAATACTCAATAAACTATTAATCCAAGCACATAATGCTCTATCTCTTTTGCCTACTACAGATATGAAAGAAACAAGTACAACAACAACAACAACAAATACAGTGGAGTCCCACAAGTGGGGTATGGGGAGGGTAGTGTATATTACCCTACCCCGGGAGGTAGAGAGACTGTTTTCGATAGACCCCCGGCTCAAGAAGATGGAAAGAACAAATAGAAACAAGCAATAATAACAACAAAAGCCAGAAAGATAATAATAGCAATCTAAGAGCTAGAAAAATAGATGGAAGAAAGCAATAGCAACAAGCAGTAACAACGGCAAGATACTAGGAAAAAACGTTGCAATATAGTAAGAAAACATCATGTAATACTAGGAATCTAAGAACAAGACACTATTAGACTAGCCCTAAAAAACTTGGTACGGAACAGAAAAACGCCCGACTATCTACTAACCTTCTATCCTAATTCTCGACCTCCACATCTTCCTATCAAGAGCGATAGAAACAAATATAACCGATAAACACCCAACAGAAACCACCAGTGAACTCTATATAATGCTAAATGTAATTTGCCTAAAAAAAATTCAGATGCTATATGAGATATAGAGGAACATTTTGCAACCAACAAAGTATTCATGTCATTCTGGAACTAGACCAAGAAACTATACAGAATAAAGTAAAAGGATCAACCTTCTGAATAACTCTGCATCCATACATTTGAAGACTCAGAGGCAAAACATGACCAATAAGTTGCCTCGCTAATTCCTTTCTTTGACTCTCTGTTCCATGCTCAAGGAACTGCATATATTTATTAAAAAATGACCATAAATACAAAGTTCATCTAGATCCGGATAATGTCCACTTGAAAAGGAAAAAATATAGTGTTATGATTGTACAAATGACAATACATACCTTCTGAATGACATAATTTCCAAAGACATCGGTCATTAAACTGTGAGCATGAGGAAGAATTTCTGGTAATATCTTCATCTTTTCTTCAACAGTGGCAGTTTCCAGCTTCTTTTGAATAAATCGACTCCCATACTGATCCTTACTAAGTAACAAAACGAAGCAAAATAAGAGTAAAAAAGAAATATGATATAAGTAACGTATATACAAACTGCAGGTTACGCACACCTGAATTCTACGACATGATTGAGAACGTCCAAAAGATCCAACGACCTGGGATTGTTCTTGAGATCGTCCAGCAAGGACGGAACAACCCTTCCTTCAGCAACATTATCTGAATGCCATGAATTCGCTAACTTATTTTCTTGACACGGTATAATACCTGAGCCAAGAGCATGAGTTGAATGATACTGATCCCTTAAGCTGTAACAATTATGTAGAAAGGACGAGGGATATTGTTGCTTCTGTTGCGGGAGTGATGTGTCAGCATACATTGTTCCAAGAACTTTTAAATCTGTATTGCCATGAGAAGCTCCAACCAAATTTCTTCCCTTTGAAGAATTATCTACAGAAGTTTTCTGCAGGTATTGGGTAGCCTCCTTGCTGTCGCTCCTCAAATGGCGTCCATTCGCGCTGACACCATTTAACTGAACACCTGACAGGTTTTTGAACAAATGCGAGGAATAAAAGCATTTGGATTCAAAATATAATGCACAAGACATCATGATTGAGCGCAGTAAAGCTTACCAAGATTGCCATTCAACGCCAGGTTCAGCTTCTGATTGTATTTGTATCCACCAGGTATATATCCCGTAGAATCAACATTTTGATAATTATTGACTTGGTGCTGGACATTAGATTTTTGACTCACAAACTCAGGACTCAATGTCCTTAGGAAATTTGCACGTCCATCTACGTAGAAGGTAGAATTATGGTCCCTTAAAACATATTTATCTTTTACAAGATCAGCAAACTCAGAAGCTGTAGCCAATTTTTCAGCTCCACAGTATTCCATAAACTGTTGGTGATCACCCTGCATATAACCGTTTGATACTCTAATTTGAAACCAAGGTTGCTGCATATTATCATTGTAGTGAAGTTGAGATAAAAAGGCAATGTCAATTCCATCACCGTGGCCAACTGAAAGCTGAGGACTAGGTGATTTTCTAAATGGATGAGGCTCAGGTGTTCTACTCCTTTGTGATGAACCTATCGCAGATGTGAAAGAGTTAGGGTGACATGGCTTAGGATTTTGAACTTTTTCCACTCCAGAAAAGCCGGGGGGAGCTTTTCCGGTATGCAATGCCTCTGTGGTTTCTGTGCTTGGAGAGTGTGAAAGATCAGCGGATGAGCGTGCAGGTTGGTCAAGTCCTTCCTGAAAAAATAAAATCTCATTTTGATATTGGAAAATTCAGAAGTATCATGAAAAGTAGAGGAGGAAAAGGAGACTGTCTTTTCTGAAATTCATGCGTCTTGGTTTGGAAGATCAATAACTACAGAACAACAGAAAATTCGTTCCGATTGATGCTTCCTTCGAATAGGAATCCTATCTTCAGACATATTATCAGTAAATGGCTCGTCTATTTGATGGTTTCACCATAATAGAGAAACTGAAAGCCTTTTTGTTAAATACTTTACTGCATTTTTCCCTGAAATTTCTTAAATGACATTTACCTTAAATTGCAGATTAAAACTTATACTTGATGACTACTTGCTCACTAGAAGAACTTTTTGTATGATCACTAGGCTTTACCTATGTTGCGCGGACTCTTCAAAATGCTGCCACACCCGTGTCGGACCTTCCAAAAATAACCTCCAAACTACGCTACTTCTGGAGGATCCGACACGCATCCGGCAACATTTTCGAGAGTCCGAGCAATATAAGGCTTAACCATGTGCACCAAAAAAGAAAAACAATGCTAATATTCCCTACATCCCAATTTATGTGATGTTGTTTGACTGGGAACAAAGTTTAAGAACGAAAGTAAGATTTTTGAAACTTGTGGTATGAAACAAGCCTCAGATTTTTGTGCGGTATAAATTATCTCATTAAGTGTAAAATAGAAAATTTAAAGTTAAATTATTTCTAATCACAGAAAGATGTCATTCACATAAATTGGGATGGAGGGAGTATGTCGCAAGCAAAGATCAACATGGAAAAAAGGAGGTAAAAAATTATTTATATCAATGAGGCTGCGTATACGCTACCCTCCATAGACCCACTATGTGGGATTATACCGAGTTCGTTATTGTAAATAGGAAACATAGATAAAGAAAAGATGCTAGGGGAGTAAATATACCAGCACAAGACAAGAGATATCACCTGAACTATGTCCGCGAAACTCTTTTTCCTTACACCAATTCCAGAGCTTGGTTCCAACGTTCCTCGTGAAAGATTCCTCGCAGCAGTCTTCCTCAGATTTATCATTTCATTTTCTGCTCTCTGTGTAGGAAAACCAGGCTGCATCGCGAACAAGGATGAATTTCCACCTTGTTCAATCCTCTGAGCGATTCTCCAATCCTCTCGAGATAACAATGGTGGGGGCAATCTTGGATTAAGATTGACATTTGAGTAATAATATGCTAAGTACGCTGGATGTGATCGAATTTGTTCTTCTGTCAAAATTTCACTACTAGTGGAATTACCATTGTTGTTACTGTTATTACCACTAGATTGTGCTAAATTGGAATTCTTAAACAAACTTCCAACAGCATTCAATGATCCTTCAACAGTAGGAGGAGCACTACCACTTCTTGACATATTCAAATCTCTCTCCCTTTCACCAACTAAATCGCGATTATGTTGATGTTGCTGCTGCTGCTGCTTTAGAAGTATCGATTCGAGCTCACTCTCCAAACAGTTCTTGCCCTTTAAATTCCCATTTGAATTTGGTGCCATCATATTATCACCATTACTTACATTCAATTTGGACAGCACACTGTTATCCTCCACACTCTGTGTTGTCATGTCAGCTATATAAACCCCATTAAAACCAAAAAAAATGAAAAAACAAAACACAAATTAGAAAGAGTCAAATCAATAACAGTAAAGATATAACACATCAATCAGAATACATCAAGAAGCAAGATATACTAACTACCAAACGAGAAGTAAACACCTTTACTGGACAACAATAAAAGAAAGTCCGGTGCACTAAACTCCCGCTACGTGCAGGGTCCGGACCACAAGGATCTATTGTACGCGGTCTTACCCTGCATTTCTGCAAGAGGCCGAGTAATTTCTAAATTTAAAAAAAAATAAAAAATCAATAACCACAATAACAACAAAAATCCTATTTCGCAACCCCAAAATGCCAAGAACAATTAACACGCTATACAAACAGCGGTAACAAGGGAATCCACACCTAGAATTTGATTTTTGTCACTACATTAGAAGCTTCCCTTTTGTTAAGGATTCAACAATTTATATATGTACAAAAAAAATTATTTTTACCCTATTTATGCAGTATAATTTTTTGACGAAGGAGATTCCCCTTCATTGTACATAGCTCCGCATTGTGTATACAAACATCTAATTCAAACATAAAATCACATGAAATTCGATCAATTTTAATACATAACTAAAGCGTAAATTCACCATATTGAAGATTTCTAACGTAATTCAAGAAAAATACGTACATTGATAGAAGAATCTTGGTGTTTTCAGGTTTCCATACGACAATCTAGGAAAAGGGGTTGTGTGAAAACATTGAAGAAAGGCTGTATGTGCTAAGTATTGTAGGAATAACCAAAAATCAAACAATTTAGCAATGATTTAATTGGTGTATGATGTTATTTGCTTGTGTTCCTATTGTTGGGGATGGGTTGTGGTTTTACGTGCATGGGGCTTTTTTGGTTAATTTAGTACTTGTGAACAACGTGACAATTGTTTCTTAAAGTGATAAAGATGGATATAGCACGTGTCATATCGAGAATACTTAGGGACTTAACTAGGAGAAAATATTGGGAACTAAAATTCTCCTAAAAAAAGTTGTGGAATCTTGTTTCAGAAAGTTCTTAAATTAAAATGACAATGTAATTTATTTATTTATTTATTTATTATAATTAGAGCTGGAATCAAGATTTGAAGTTTATGAGTTTTAAATTTGCCATCAAACCTAAACTCGTTTTAGTTATGAAATGTGCAATTAAATATTATTACATTTTAAATAAATTTTCTAATATAAATATAAGGTCTACTAGGTTCATCCGCACCCATATGCAATAGATTGCTATGCCCCTCATTATAAGTGTAACTTAATATGCTGTAGCAAGTTATTTGCTTTATTTTTCTGATCGATTGTCGGATTATGGTTGTTATAAATAGTTACCCTTTTATTGCAGGTATTCAACATGATGATGTGAAAATATTACATTGTTAGTACAGAGAAGATCTTTTTAAGGGAAAAAAAAAAGTTGTTCCCTGTATCATAATAACTTCATAATATGAAAATAGAAATATAATTTAGTAATCACGTTTATTGAGGAGAAAATATTTGTTTATTTTTATGTTCTTTTCCACATTTTGCTAGTGTTGTGACAGCAGTTTGTTGCTGATTTTTCGTTATCTCATAGTAGTAAAAATTAATATCCTAGATTTAATTATATTCGGTTTACTTTTGATATAGTTCGTACAATCTGGCTTCTCATACGTCTAATGTTTTTACTTTGCGTCTCATCCAAAGAACGAACTCTTATTTTAGAATGAAACTAATTGGGAGTAGCCCGGCTGTGACCGGGCCCAACATAGTGAAAATAGAGGAATACAATTATTTAGATATTTGGAATTTTTATTCAAATAAAATGTATGATTATCTTGTTTTGTGTTTAGTTGAGTTATGTCTTTTTATTAAATATTTATTACCTTTTACCACTTGATCTTAATTAGGCAATGGCATTAGACCCCTGCTGAGCACGGACCCAACTTAACCACTAAACTTAATCTAAAATTTTAAATTCTTCTATTTTTCCTTTTTATTTTACAATGTCATATTAGTTATGAAAAAATGCATTTCAAAATTTTCTACTATGAGAAGCTTCCATTCGGATCACAAAAGCTTTTATAGTTTAAGAAAATAATTTTTGTTACTAAAAGGTTTTTTTAATCTATCTATATACTAATTATGAGAAATGAAAGAGTGAGATGACACTTCTCTTTGGCCAAGGATCTCATTTATCTTTTTTCTCAATTTTTTGACTTTTTTCTTTTTTTAAGATGTCAAAAAGCCTCCGGCCATTTAATATGGTTCATCCCTTATTTAAAATGTTTTTACACAAAATAACTCCCACATTGTGTATAAGTTACTATAATAATTACTATCATTTATTGTGTATACTAATTGGAGAATGTGAAAAACCATCCATCAGTTCTCAAAGTTCTTCGTATCTTTTCCTCTATATCATTAAAGTTGAGGTTATTTGTTTCACCATATAAGAGTACTGGACGTCCTTTTGTGCAGCAACCTGTTAATTATCCTCTTTGGAATGCTTTTGTAATGAATTGAAATAGCCAGCGATGAGAGGCCATTTGGTTTGGTCTTCTTGATGGCGTTTCTCTTTATAACTTTAAGGAATTAGATTAGATTTGTTGACAATATCAATGGTTTCTTTCCTATCATTATTATAGCTTCATCCTGCAAAGTTTTTATTTGGTTAGTTCACTTCTTTTATTTTAAAATTTCTTCTTTGTTGATGAGGTTAACATTTTCTGCCTCCAGGGCAGGGTGTTTTCAAAAGTGTAAGCAGGGGAAGGAAGAAGTATGCCGATATGCTACTTAAGTAAATATATGTGTAAAATTTTTAAGCATATGATTAGTTTTCCAACTTATTTTTGTTGATAAAAGTCCTCAAGTTTTTTCTTATTAATCTATTTGTTTTCCTTGCTTATTGTGATTTCTTTTTTGTATATATATATATATATATATATATATATGATTGTAATGCATTATCCAAGGATTAGTGGTACGAGGATTTTTGTAATGTAAGTACTATTGATTCAGAGAATATAATTGAGGGATTAACAATACAAGAGATTATAATATATGAATTGCAATGCAGAAATTATAACATATGAATTGCAATGCAGAGATTATTTGCCATTGAATGTTTAGTTTTTTGTATAAAAAATCATTATACAATGTATATCTTAAAATATTTGTTTATTCTTTTAACAAAATAAATTTGTGGTTACTGCAAGGTTATTTTTGTTATTTTATTATTTTAATCCATATATTACTAATTCTCATATTCTTATTTTATTAAGTTTTACAGCGAAAAAATTATTGAATTGTTATAAATATATTATATTATGGATGTTCATTTAGTACTCTGTTGTNNCATTACCCCCGGTAGAAGATTATCCATATCGGGTATAATAAGCTTATCCTTTCAGTACCTAGTTATGGATAAACATTACCCCCGGTAGAAGATTATTCATAT